TTTGACAAATAGGCTGCGTGTTGTTTTGCCAACAGTGGTGTCTGAAGCTCAAAATGCATTCATCGGGGGTCGTCAGATTCTAGATGCCGTATTAGTAGCTAATGAATGTATTGACTCAAGGCTTCAGCAGGGACGTCCCGGGGTGATCTGTAAGTTGGATATTGAGAAGGCCTATGATAGTGTTAATTGGGAGTTTCTCTTCTACATTATGAGGCGGATGGATTTTGGGGAGAAATGGTGTCGGTGGATGAAATTCTGTATTTCTACGGTCCAGCTATCTGTATTGGTGAATGGTACACCGGCGGAATTCTTTTCTACTTCTCGTGGCCTTAGACAGGGAGACCCCTTGTCGCCATTGTTGTTCCTCTTGGTAATGGAGGCCCTTACTAGATTGTTGGGGCGGGCTGTAGCTGAAGGCTTGTTGGAAGGTTTTTCGGTCGGATCTTTAGGCGGAGTAGTGGTGGGTGTTTCGCATCTTTTGTACGCAGATGATACTTTGGTCTTTTGCGAGCCGCGTGCTGAGCAGTTGGGCTATTTGCGGTGTGTTTTGCTGTGTTTTGAGACGGTCTCGGGTCTGAGAGTGAATTTGAGTAAGTCTGAGTTAATCCCAGTAGGGGAGGTTGACAGAGTTCCCATGTTAGCAGCTATTTTGGGGCGCAAGGTGTCAGCTCTGCCAGTTTCTTATTTAGGCTTGCCGTTGGGTGCTACTTTTAAGTCGCAAGGGGTGTGGAATGGTGTGGTGGAGCGAGTGCAGCGGAGGCTGGCAGGTTGGAATAAGCAATATTTGTCAAAAGGGGGACGTTTAACTTTGATTCAGAGTGTGCTGAGTAGTATTCCGACTTACTTAATGTCGGTACAAGTAATTCCGGTTTCGGTGGCTCGACGTTTGGAGAAACTTCAGAGAGATTTTCTGTGTGGGAGTGGAGAGGAGGTTTTCCGTTATCATTTGGTGGGATGGGATCGGATTTGTTCTCCAAAGGATGCGGGTGGTTTGGGGGTCCGGAGTTTGGTTACTTTTAATCGAGCTTTATTGGGTAAATGGTTTTGGCGTTTTGCATGGGAGCGAGACCGGCTTTGGCGAAGGGTGATTGCTGCAAAGTTTGGGGTGGATGGCAGGGATTGGAGGACCGGAAAAGTTACAAGATTTCGTGGGCGAGGTTTGTGGAGAGGGATTTGGGGCTTGTTTGGTTTGATTTTGGGAGATGAGTTTGGGAGATAAAAAGTACGAAAAGTTGTTTGGTTTGATTTTTTTTGAAAGATGTTTTGGAAAATTATTTTGAGAGAGAGTTTTGGAAAAAGTGATTGATTTGATGTGTATGAGAGAGAGATTTGTTTGGAAAACTTGTTTGGTTTACAAGTTTTGGGAAATTTTTTTGAGAAAATTTGTTTGGTTTGATTTTTTCTGAAAACTCATTTGTAGAGAAATTTTCCCAAAATTTTTTGGGAAATTCAAACCAAACGAACCCTTGGTTTGGGAGGGCTGAGTTTTGGGATCGGGTGCATTTCTGAGTGGGAAATGGGGAGAGGGTTAGGTTTTGAAGGGATAAATGGTGTAGGGAGGTGTTGTTGGAAGATCGATTCCCTTTGATTTTTGGCATTGCAGTGGACCCTGAGGTGACTATGGCGAACTGTTTGGGGGATGGAGAGATGGTAGTCTGGGACGTCCGCCTGCGGCGGCCAGTTCAGGATTGGGAGGCTACTCAATTGGAGGAGATGTTGGGGTTTTTATATGGTTTGGGGCCCGTTGGGCGAAGGGAGGATAGGGTGGTGTGGATAGTGTTGGGATCGAAAGGCCTCTTTACGGTGTCATCCTTTTATCGAAGTCTGGTGGGGGGGGCAACTACGTTGTTCCCTTGGCGAAGCATTTGGGTTCCGGGCATTCCATCTAAGGTAGTGTACTTTTTGTGGACAGCTGCTTTGGGCCGGAATCTGACTGTTGATAATTTGGTCCGTCGAGGTCATGTCTTAGTGAATCGCTGCTGTATGTGTTGTATGGATGCAGAGTCGGTGGATCATTTATTTCTTCATTGTGATGTGGTATCTCGTCTATGGGGGTTGGTATGCTCTTTGTTTGGGGTTGTTTGGGTGCAACCCAAGGGGGTGTTGGAGATGTTATGGAGCTGGCGAGGTGCTCGTGTTGGTCGTCGGCGTCGGCGGATTTGGTCCGTTGTGCCTTTTTGTTTGATGTGGCTGGTTTGGTTGGAGAGGAATCGGCGGACGTTTCTCGATATTACTCATTCGGTGTCTTGGCTTTAGAATCGCTTGTTGCTTACTTTATGCACTTGGTTGGAGTCACGAGCCGACCCGGACATATTTGTTTTCATAGATTTTTTGGATAAAATTATTGGTTAGGAGTTCTAGGCTCTTTGTATTCTTTGCATCTTCTTGATGCTTTTCTAATAAAATTAATTACTTATCCAAAAAAAAAAAAAAGCATTACTAACTACAAGTATTTTATGCAGAATGTCCACACTTTAAGATTGATGCAGAAGAGGCATAGGGAAAAAATTATCACAAGATCAGGGGATTAGCTCCCATATGCTTTTTAAACATCTTTGTTCATGACCTGTCTGGTTGTCCATTACTTACAGTCTTACACAAAGAATATCTATGTAATTCATAAAAGTTCTCAAGAGAAAGTGATGAAGATAATTTATCCATCTTTATAAAACAGAAGTCCATTTGAGTAATAAATTTAAATGGAAAATGAACATTGAAGAAAGTTAAAACTCAGTTCGCGCTCTGAGAAGAAGAATCAACCCAAAGAAATTTCTGAAATATGTTACATAAGAAAATGACATGAAATTGGCAAACACCAGGAAAAGAAAAGAAAAACAAAACTTTCATGCAGCATTTAAAAGGAGTATCATGTACTTCACAGAGAAAAAAAAACATTATATGAATTTCACAAATGAAATCTAAGTATTCACAATCTGGTATAAGAAATAATAAATTGATTAGATCATTAATGTCATACAACACTATATCAAGTGATCCCAAATTCAGGCTGAATTGCACACACAACAGCTCATCTTTACAAGAAAATAAAGAGGCATGAAAGCGAAGTATAACCAATCAAGCACATAAATCTCAATTAGATTGCTTTAACTGAATTCAAGCCCCAACTTTAGAACAGTGTGCAGAACTTATTATTCTTTAGAAGAAGATTTGTCCATTCAAGTATTTATTGACTGGAATTTATGTTGAATCAATTTAGAACAATGGTAAAGATGGTAAGTTAACATCTACATGGAAGTGGCAAATGGAAAACATCAAACACTTGTACAATGTGTTTGGATCTTGGATTTGTGGAGGGAAAATAAAGGGAAGAGAAAAGAGAAATGAAATAAAAGCTAATTTCTTTTGTTTTACTCTCTCCACAAATTCAAGATCCAAAACAGCCATAGTATAGTCCAAAAAAGAGGAATGAATTGACAAGATTATTCAAAGATGCATGAGATTGCATCCCTTTTTCTTTTATTCTTTTCACCCCTCTTTGTAAGTACATGACTTGTACCTTTAGTTATATTAAACTGATTATGTTCGATTTCATATATAACATATATTGATTAATGAATCAATGGTCTGTAATTGATGATCGTTAATCTTGTGCGGGAAATTCTTTCCTCTTAGAGAGTTACTCATGTAGGGAGGAAGAGGAAGACCAAAAAAGGCTTATTGCTTGGCACTTATGGTGATTATGTGGCACTGGTGGGCATTGGGGAGAAAAAATAGAAGTACTTTTGAGGGCAAAGAAGTATCAATTCTGAGTTCAAAGAGTAGTTTATGCACATTTTGCAGTTGGCTTTTGGGGCAGCTAATCTTCCTTTGACTCAATTTCTGAGCTTTCCAGACAGCTTTGAATAGGTTTTCTTTCTTTCTTCTGAATACAGATTGCACCCTCTCAATGCCTCTCTTTAATATTATTCAAAAAAAAAAAAAAAAAAGAGTTGATTATCATAAAATGAACTTTGAAGAGGAACAATAATATCATAAATAAACTATGAAGTACTGACATCCCACTGCACAAATTCTTCCCACAGCAGATTTAAGAAAATCCTAAATCACTTCAATGAAACCTTTATCGTGACACTTACACCTAATGTATTAATAAATCATGGAGACAAAATACGGATGAAACAACTTTAATGAGATCCAATTTCGTTATACCTTTCATCACTTGTTTGGGAATAACCAATTCATGGAGGGTTGGAGTATCATAGGAGGGACTGTACCATATCCATGTATTTGGAGTTACAAAGGTGGGGCTGGTTGTCTCAATACTGGCTGACTTCATTAGCTGTGCGACTGATGGATAGCAGCATATAGTTGTTTATCTCATTCCTAAATCCAGAATTACCAAGTCCCATTTACCATTTACCTTATCTGAGTATTGAGCTCAACCCTAACTCCATCTCCAAGCCAATCAATTTAAATTTTGATTAAATAATTGTCATATGTAAGACAATCCCATCTGGGTTCCTTTCAAATCATTCAATCCAACATACTGATTCAAACCTACATCACCAAAACACATTCAACAATTGGCAACACTTCCTATTTCAAAACCCTAAAATCCAATGTCAAATAAACCACCAATAAATTAACAAAACCAAAATTCATTCAATTCACACCACTTTTCCTCTAGTATTTCAAAAAAACAACTTAATTCTTACACTACAAGTTGAGAAATTTCGTCATATCACGACAAATTCTCTAGTTCTATAACATTGGGCACCAAACCCAGTTCAAAAGCAAACGAACCAAACCAAAAACAGTGAAAATTAAGCTCAAATCCTATCTCCATCTCTAAGCCAAGCAATTTAAATTTTCATATGTAAGACAAACCCATCTGGGTTCCTTTCAAATCATTCAATCTAACATAATTCAAACCTATATCACCAAAACACATTCAAGAATTGGTAACACTTTTACTCACACCCCTGCACCAAAGAATTTCAAAACCCTAAAATCCAATGCCAAATAGACCAACCAATACATTAACAAAACCAAAATTCATTCAACTCATACCAAATTTCCTCTGCTATTTCAAAAAAACAACTTAATTCTTACGCTACAAGTTCAGAAATTTCGTCACATTCACGACAAATTCTCAAGTTCTATAACACAGGGCACCAAACCCAGTTCAAAAACAAACCAACAAAACAAAAAAGTTCGAAAATTGACATGAATCAAAGCTAAAAAATACCATCCAAAATCGCGGCTTCTCTTCAATTCTTAATCTCCATGACGCTCTTGACCTTGGGAGAATATAGGGAGTACACGATGGCCTGTCTAGTGGCGACCTCGAGCTGAGACTTCCCATCGGAGAAAGCGGAGGCGATCGATGAAGGGTCAGAGAGGTCTCTGTTCTGGCGAAAGGCGTCGATGGTGCGACGCTTCGAGTACTCCCTGATGTTGTAGTCGGCGAATTTGCGGGATGTTCGGAGGAGAGAGCGGAACAGTGAGAGAACTTCGGAGCGCCCAGGCGGTGGAATGGCTGATGCCATTTCTAGAGAGAGAGACAGAAAGAGAGAGAGAGAGAGAGAGAGTGAAGTTTGTTGATGAAATTTCTGGGTTCAATGCTAATGGAAAGAGAGTAGAGGGCAGGGGGTTGTGGGTTTAGTAAATGGGAAATATTCGTTTGGAATTAAATATTTTATTTAAAAAGTTAAAATGTAAAAAAAAAATTAAAAATTAAAAAAATAACTTTTTACTTGCTTCTTAAAATAGGTTTTATTTTTTATGTCTTTGTCAAGGGAAAAAAATTATTGGGTTGGTTTGCCAAGTTAGCTATTTTAGTTAATTTTTTGATTTTTTAATAATTTTAACTTGGTTAAAAAAGTAATATTTAGAGAGATAATTAAATTTTTTTTTTGTAATTGATTTAATAGTTATGAAAGAAAAAATAAAATTATTATAATTTGAATGTGATATTTTATCTTGACATGGGTAAGCCCATAAAGATAATAGCCCACTACTTAGGGCCCAATACATATCTCAAATACTAAAGTCCAGCACTCACGTAGCAATGAGAACCAATGACACTAAAACACACGGCAAGAGAAGGGCAAGCCACATCAGCAAACAAAGATCTGCAAAATTATTGTCACTGCACATCACCATTAATGAAGCCCCTTACAGCATTTATTGCAACAAGCCCTCTCCGCCGGGACAGAACACCTTCACCATGAACAAGGTAAGTTAGAGCATAGACTTTCGGTCAAGGTGACAGGTCGGAAGGGATAACGAAATGATTACCAGAAGATATAAGCAGACGTCGAAGACAAAAAGAAGGTTAAGCTTTTCTATCTCTAATCTATCTCTACAATCCATTTCTCTTTCTAACTTGCTTGTCGGAGGGTTCGCTGGGGGATTCCCCGTTCTCCGTTGAACTCTTGTGCAAGTTCTCAGGTGGGCATGATCGCTCGGATACCGGTTGGAGAAGCGTTGATCAGTCCGACCCGTCCAAGTCTCTTATAGCATCATTAGTTAGCGCCGTCTGTGGGAACCTCTTACTTCGCGTGCCAGCTGTGCTCATTGTCGCCGGAGGCCCTTCCCCAATAACCCCTTTCCTACCACCTGCCAAGGTGTATGGTCACGACTAGATCCATGGCTTCTCACCCCAATGTTCCCGATCATCAAGCCAACCCCCCCAACCCAAATAACCCACCACCGTATTTCACCGAGCTCACCAACAGCATTAACCGCTTGGCCGAGCAAAACCAAGCCCTGATTAATGCTCTTCTCCAAAGAAACCTTCCACCACCTCCACATATTCCCCCCAACCAAGAACGAGTCCCGAGCCACACTATCCTACAGCCTAATCCACCCAACTTGGGAGGCTTGTAACCCCCTCCCCCAAGTATAAACCTACCACCTCAAGGCCCACAGCCATCGATCCCGGCACCGACCCCTGAAGGAGAGGCCAGCAGCGTCCAGCCCCCGTTGCCCTCCGGTGGTGACAACATCCCCCTCTGGGACGCAGAACTCCGAGCCATGAAGCTCCAGCTCCAAGGGGTCATGCAAAACATACAGCATAAACCATCCACGACAGCCAACTCCCCATTTGTTGCTTCCATCAGGGACAAACCTTTACCGACCAAGTTCAAAATGCCCACCATCGACTCTTTTGACAGTACGACAAACCCAGTCGACCACTTGGAAACCTACAGAACCCTTATGATCCTCCATGTATTCCCTGGCGAAATTACGTATCGGGCTTTCCCTATGACACTCAAGGGGTCAGCTCAACTTTGGTTTAGTCAGCTGCCGGCGGACTCTATCTCCACCTTTCAGCACCTCAGTGACTCCTTCCTCAGCCATTTCATTGGAGCTTAGCGCCAGCGACGTCCGGCAACCCAACTCCTCAACATCCGTCAGACCGAGGGGGAGTTGTTGCGCAGTTTTGTTACCCGCTTCAACACTGAAGCCTTGCAGGTAGCGGAAAACGATGACAAAGTCATCCTTACAGCTTTTATGGCCGGTTTGCGGTCATCTGACTTCCTCTTCTCCCTCTCAAAAAACCCCGCGACCTCTATGGCAATCCTACTCTCCAAAGCCCAAAAATACATGAACGCCGAAGACTCGCTAACCGCTCGCCAGGACCCTGCAGCCAAAAACCCCACCACCAAGGAGAAGAGAAAGGATTCAGATACCAGAAACATCCAATACAATAACCAGACACCTCATTATACCGACCGGCCACCCAAGCCGACTAGTCAGCACCAGCCTGACCGCCCGGCCGATTCGAGCGGTACACACTCCTCAATTCACCCATGGAACAACCCCTCAATTCACCCATGGAACAAGTCCTCAATCAGATCCAGCGTGATTACCCCCTAAAATGGCCCCAACCATCACGGACTCCTTCCAATCAAAGAGACCAGTGCAAATACTGTCGTTTTCACCAGGACCACGGCCATAACACCGAAGAGTGTGTTAACCTAAAAGATCAGGTTGAGGGCTTGATTCGCCAAGGTCGTCTCAGTCGATTCACGGAAACTCACCCTCAGCAAAGACAACAGACTGAACCCATCAGAAACAATCGCCGGCACACCCCTCCCCGACAACCAGCACAACCTAACCAAGGTCATGATTGCCTTCCACAGTAACCTCGGGCACAAGGTAACCCCGCCCCACTTGTTGGAGAAATCAAAGTTATTTCCGGCGAGCTTGCTTATGGAGGACCATCCCGCTCGGCCCAGCGGGCAGAACTCAGAAAAATAAGGCAAGGCTCAGACAAAGAAGTTGCCACATTGGACCGACCCTCCAAACAGCCTAAGCAGTGGACCGAGCCTATCACCTTTACAGACGCCGATTGCACGGGCATCCGTTACCCTCATGACGACCCTCTCGTCATCTCCGCCCTTCTCTTCAATTAGAATGTCAGACGGGTTCTCGTCGACAACGGCAGTTCTTTAGACATCATATTCCTCAATTGCTTCCGCCAGCTCAAGATCGGGGAAGAAAGTCTGTCCCCTCTCCAAACCCCTTTGGTCGGTTTCACGAGCGACCGGGTGACCTCCATCGGCTCCATTGATCTTCCCATCACAATCGGCGAGTACCCTCGACAGACCACCAAGTTGCTCACCTTCCTTGTGGTCGACTGCCCCTCTGCCTACAACATCATCCTTGGCCGCACCGCCCTAAATGCTTTCCAAGCTATCACATCCATTTTCCACCTTGCCATCAAGTTCCCCACCGATCTTGGGGTCGGCACAGTGAGGGAAGAGCAGACCGTGGCTAGAGAATGTTATGTCACCTCACTCAAAGAAGTCAAGCTGAAGGAGGCTATGATCATTGAGGGACTCGATGTCAGAGACGAAGACGAGCTGGTTAGGGGGGAACCAGTGGAAGAACTTATCAAGGTCCCCATCGATCCCACCAACCCTGCAAAAACTGCCAAGATCGGCAGCTAACTATCCACCCAAGCAAAGGCCGACCTTACTGCCCTCCTGATCGAATACAACGATGTATTCGCATGGACCCACTCAGACATGCCAGGTATTGACCCCTCGTTCATAACTCATCATCTCAGCATTGAGCCTCACTTCCGACCCTTCCGCTAAAAGCAGTACATCTTTCATCCAGAGCGCAATACTCTTATTGTTGCAGAGGTCGATAAGCTCCTTGAGGCACAATTCATCAAGAACATAGACTACCCTAGATGGTTGTCAAACGTGGTCCTAGTCCGTAAGAACAATGGTAAATGGCGGCTCTGTGTCGACTACTCCGACCTCAACCGAGCTTGCCCCAAAGACAGCTACCCTCTTCCTCGCATAGATCTGCTAGTTGACGCCACGGCCGGTCATCAAATGCTCAGCTTCATGGATGCCTTCTCTGGGTACAACCAAATTCTGATGCACCCGTCTTATCGGGAACACACCTCCTTCATCACCGATCGAGGTATTTATCATTACCGTGTGATGCCATTTGGGTTGAAAAATGCTGGGGCCACCTACCAACGGTTGGTCAATGCTGTCTTCCATCACCAGATAGGCCAGAACATGGAAGTATATGTCGACGATATGCTAGTCACTCCATAGATCATCTGGCCGACCTGCGAGAGACCTTCGCCACCCTACGAAAGTACCAAATGAAGCTCAATCTGGAGGAATGCGCCTTCAACGTAGGATCTGGGAAGTTCTTGGGTTTCATGGTCAGTCAGCGGGGCATTGAAACTAACCCTAAAAAGATCAAGGCCTTGATTGAAATGCAGTCTCCCAGAACAGTTAAAGAGGTTCAGAGACTCACTGGCCGAGTTTCCGCCCTCAACCGCTTCATTTCACGCGCAACGGATAAGTGCCTCTCATTCTTTAAAGTGCTTCGGCAAACTTTTGAGTGGACGGCTGAATCCGAAGAGGCTTTTCAGCAGTTGAAGCAGTGCATGGCCAACCCCCCCTCATTTCTCAGGCAATCATGGGCGAACCCCTCTTCCTCTATTTAGCCGTGTCGAACACCGCAATCAGTGCAGCTCTTATCAGGGAAGGCAGCTCGGTCCAACGGCCAGTCTACTACATCAGTCGGGCTCTTAGGGGAGCGGAACAGAATTACCCATTGTTAGAAAAAATGTCCTTGGCCTTGGTCACCGCCTCCAGACGGCTCCGTCCCTACTTTCAAGCCCATTCCATTGTAGTCCTCATTGACCAACCATTGAAGAAGATAATGCAACAACCAGAGCTTTCTGGTAGACTTATGTAGTGGTCGGTCGAACTCAGCCAGTTTGACATCTCCTACTGGCCTCGGACAGCAATTAAGGGGCAGGCTATTGCCGATTTCATCCTGGAATTCACTAATCCCACTCCAACCACAGCTCCTCCGCCTCCACCACCCCCAACCGAGCCAGAAAACCCCCACTCTTGGACCCTCAACGTCGACGGATCATCCCGTAAAGAAGGCAACGAGGCTGGTCTCATCCTCACCGCTCCTGAGGGTAGTTATTTCAAATGTGCTCTCCACTTCTTGTTCGATGCAAACAATAATGAGGCCGAGTATGAGGCATTGATAGCAGGTCTCCGCCTAACCAGAGACATTGGTGTCAGCCATATCCAAGTGTTCAGCGATTCCCAGCTCATTGTCGGCCAAATCAAGGGGGAATTCG